TGTAATTTGTTTTGGGACTTATACAAACGCATTTAAATGTTAATTTAATTGACTCTCGTTTGATCCCCAAAACACTGGTTTTAATTTTTGTTTCTTAAAATTTTTGTATTCTAGTTTCTTAACATTGTATGTATTAAAATTATTAAATTCAAGAAATTGTTAATTGAATTTTTATAAAAACATAAAACAACATTTAAAAATAAAAGTAAAGATTTCAGTTAACGTCTCCTTTTTGCTACCAGGGCTGATCTGGACCGGGCCTACTTTTGTTTACGCGTAATCCGAACCGCGGTTCTCCGCCATATCATGGTCAATGGCCTACCGACTTGGCAAGTGTCTAAATCGACTCTTACTCACGAGATATCCGATCTCATCCGGCCTCGAACCGGCGTGAATGGGCAGTGTGTGTCAATAGATTTTACACTGATGCCTTTTTTTGGACAACAGCACGATACAGAGTTTCGAACCGGTCACCCGTCCATCCACTAGTATCGCCTTACGTCGCTGAACTTCGGTGTTCTAATGGGAACTGATGTTTCGACGTGGCTGGGCCGTTGCCCGTTTAAAAATAATGAATATGACTAGTAAAAATTAAATAGAATCAAAGCTTTTGCCTGTTTGTGTCATCTTTTGTGACCCGAATGCAGAGACTGACATAAATCTAAATATGAAGTATGCCAGTCTCTGGAAAGTCTGCCCAAGAGAATGGAAGTAATTCTAGACCTAACACCACTATACATTGTTAAAAATTAAAATATTAATTATTGAAATTGTGAGCCCTACTATTAATAGTATAAACTTAAATCTAACAAAAATATTCCATGCAAGTAGCTATTTATTAATAAGTACCTATCGCGTATTAGTATGCAGGTACCATTTTAAAATCTGCTTAACCTCTTTATCTTCAATAACAATGAAATATATTTGGGCCAAAACCATTACTTACAGTGTGACGCAAAATGCCGAATTATGCAATATAGTACAATTATTATAATTGATATTATATATTTGAAGAACAAAATTACCATAAAGGTCGTTAATATTTAAATGCACTTTTTACTTTTATATATTATTTATATTTTATATTTTTTGGGGGGATAAACTTTTTAATGTGTCCTGATTCATATTTTATTTTTGAGAGTTTACTTTTTTAATTTTAGGTAATGTTTGCATTTATAATTGTCCCCAACGAGAGGCCCCAATGAGTGGCATTTATATGGTTTTATAAAAAAACATATAAATAATTAAAACACAAAGATTTAAAATATTTTTAGCGGATGTGTGTTAAGAATGATTATATGAACTGAAAAAATATTAACACACTCTTTTAAAATTAATTAAAATTAATAATTATTATCTCCACTTTAAATAACATATGACTGTTGAGGGATAATTGTTAATTTTCATTAGTAGATATTTTCATTTAATTAAAAGGTAGATCTTTTGTGTCTTTTTTTGTATATTCTGTTCTGGGCATACTGATTTGTAGAATTAAATATTATGAAGAATTAATTCAGAAGGTCTAATAATAAAGAAAATTCATGTGACAAATTAAAAAGATCCAGTAGTATATATGCCAGTAGTGTAAAAAGTATATTAAGGGCGCGATTTTTAAATTCACTGTTGCCAACCATGGACAATATTCGGCGTCGGACTGACTAACTGGAATTTAAATTTCCCGCTGGGGATTCAGGTGGTAGCTCTGCTATAAAAAATGTCAAGTTGCCATATTTATTTATTTATTTCATGACATTGTTATTCGTTTTGACACTTTAGTTTTGTATTACGAGTTTTTGGTTTAAATAGATAATGTTGTGATACTTTAAGCTTAAAAATATTTACTAGCAGACCTTGCAGTCGCACATTGTTCTTTTTAGAACCTCTTTTAGTGCGAAGTGTAGAAAGTAGAATGTAGAATGTTTAGGAGGGGAGTTAATCATCTCAACTTTACAGATCTATTGTGTTTTCCCTTTCTTGAGTTATAACGAGTTATAATAATCATACAGTCTCATGGCTTTAACAGAAGCTAGTATCTGAGACCGCTCCACAGAGGCCAGCTTTCTATCCCTGACATCAGCCGTACCAAAGTTCATGGTACGAATGGTCGTCGTCTCGGCGCACTCAGTGATGAGGTGTTCTGGTGTTTCCCCATTTCCCCCATAGAATCTGCATTCGCCGTTGTTTCTCAGCTTCAGCCTACGGAATGTGTTCGTTGAGGAGACAGTGCCCTGTTAGAAACCCCGTGACAATCCGAAGATTGTTTTCACTTAAATCAAGGAAAACCTTTGATTTTTCTCGGTCATAAGTTCTGAGGAACTTTTTCTAGTGTCTTAGACCGTTGGATGACACCCATTCCAAGTTACGGACGGATTCTTCAGTTCCGCTTTCAGTTGGTTCCCGTTTGGAAATCAGAAGGGTTCTGGTTCAGTTAGTGGTATGTTCTCTCCTTTTCTAGAATTAGAATTTAGAATAAGTGGGAGGGGGGTTAATCTCTGCGACCTTAGAGATCTATTGTGTCCCCCTTTCTTGAGTTATAAGTCATCATATAGTCCCAGGACTTCCTACGGAGACCCGTGTCCCTCACAGTCGAGGAGCTACGACCCAGGCCGGGTAGACGAAACGGTAGCTTGTGTCGCCTGTTAGGTTTAGAGGTAGGAGGTAGGCTCCTGACCCTTGGAGGAGGTGGTAGCTTGTATGCCACTTGCGGAGGATGGTCTCACGCAAGTGTCAGCCACCTCTCCTGTAGTTCTCTTTGGGTTTGGCCCCTTGGAACTTTCATTGTTACTGTTCCCAGTGTCGCTAGGGGGTTTCCCCACAGCTTCACCGGTGATGTTTTTATTACTATTATTACCAGATCTCATAGTGTTCCTATGAGTCGCTAGGGGACAGTCGGTCCACTTCTACAGAGCCCCGCATGTAGAAGTAAGGGTAAATACAATCGGGTGCCCCCCGGTGCCCCAAGGTTGAGGCTGTCCGTAGCCCCGCCCGGTATCGTTATATGTCTTGGTGCAATTCCCTGGCCACGACACTACAGTCAGGGACAAGACGATGAGTGAGATGCTTCTTAGACCAAGCCAAGTGCTAGGGGGGATTCCGCCCAGCACCTGACCAGGAGCTTTCCCACCAACGACAAGGTCTTGCATCTCCTAGGGGAAGCTCCTTTTTCTAACTAGATCATTTGCTTTTTCATTGCCTTCTATCCCTTGGTGAGCAGACACCCAGAGTAGGAGGACTTTATTTTCTTTGCCTAATTTGTTGAGCTTCTCTAGGCATCCTTTGACCAACTTCGAATTTATGGTTAGTGAGTTGATCGCGTTTAGTGCTGCTTGACTATCGGATAGGATGGCAATTTCCTGTTTTCGTTAGTTCCTATCTAAGATAAATTGTACGCATCTAGTGCGAAGTGTACAAGTTAGCTTAAAAGCCGTAAAAAACTCATCTCAACTGTATTAGAATATTTTAAACGGGAAAACGGGGTCCTTTATGTCTCTCTTAAGTGCTGTTAAGAAGGTGATATTTGTTGATGTAAATAATAACTGTTTATATATTTATAATTAATTTATTTTTATTTCCTAAAATATTTTGATTAAAAGAAAATATGTAAAAGTGGGCAACGGTGTGCCGGTCAAACTTAATCACGTGGCTAAAATTTTATTTGATATGAACTATACTATATGACTTAAAATATGTACAACGACAAGATACTTGACAGTCACAGTTGTTGACTATCATTTTAATTTAAAAGTAAGTTGAATTTTATGTCATTTTTTAGGAGAATCCAATAAATTTTTAGATTTTGGATTGCGTCTCCCACAGAATGTCGAAATTTTCACTAGCTCTTTGGACAGTTCATGGACAGTATCAAGGTTTTTTATCGTAACTATACAGGGTGAGTCTTAAATAAGGGCATATATTTTTAGGGCTGGTAGATCACGACAAAAGAAACATACCTACCTTTTCTTTTTATCGTTTTTCAAATAAGTCCAAAATAACCGAGTTATTTTACTTTGAAAATTAAAAAAAATGATTTTTTGTTAAAATTTTGAGAACCACTGGATCTTTTCTGGGGTCTCTTTCTTGTAAATTTAATCTACTACCTATGTTGCCATATTTTCAAGAAATTATTTATTTTAACTAAAAAAAAATTGGAATTTTCAAATTTTCTTTTTGCTTGCAACTTATAATTATTGTGTTTCAGAGGTCGAAATATACTACTCATAAAAATATTTTCACTTATTTAAGACTCACTCTGTATAAGTATATGTACAGCTGGTTCCAATAAAATTGAATACGATTTAAAACATATTTTTATTATTTCGTGCAGTATATTTTATGATACCAGTCCCCCATTTCTCTACTCATGTCATGCTGACGTTCTGAAAAATTTATTTGCCACTTTGTCAAAAGCAAAGTTGTTTTATACAATGTCACAATAACCTTAACATATCAAAATACTTGACACATAAATATAAACTGCCCAAATATTCGAAAAAAATGTGTAAAGAGTCGTATTCATTTTTTTTGGAACCAGCTGTACTAAAATCAAATTATATAGGAATACAAAAGACTTTTAAAGAGTTTTACCCACATATAATACAGTATAATCGAAAAGAAATGCCGTCAAAGACGGCGTGGGCAATGAAAATCGATAATGATTTTAGCCTATAATTATCATCTATTGTCTTTCCCCAGCCGTCTTTGACTTTTTTTTTTCGATGGTATTTTATTTCTACTCTAGAAGTTTCCTTTTAGTGGCGGTATCTTTTTAGGTTTAATTTAGATAGTTTATTTAAAGTTGTTTTCTCTATTAACAAACAATAGCAATTGGCACTGATAACAGATTCTATAATATTGTTTGAGCCTTTTTGTAAAAATACTTTTCTATAACCCTGTAAATTATTGAAAAATCCTTCTGAACGAACAGATAAAAACACCTTAAGGTTGCATTTAAGTAGTCGCGGTTTATTCAGAGCTTGATGTCACATATTTTGCAAGCGATCCAAGTAGGGAGTGTATTTAAGCTATGACAAAGAATTTTTTATGGTTTATTATTTATTGGTTCTTCTATCTTCGAGTGCCATTAATTTTGTGTTGTGTCTGTTGATTTGGTGTGCAATTTTTACTATTTCATGCTACATTCAGTATTTCGTACTTGCAGAATACGATGTATACCCGGCGCGCCTTACTATTTGGATCTACATTAATTTATGTGAGTGTGTTACTTTTTGTGCGAAGGAAATTTAAATTTGTAATTTAAGTGATTTATTCCTCCTTAATCTGGTAGTGAAAAGTATCTGTATGTTAATGTGTTAGGCAATCTAGATTTAATTTTTTTATTTAAATGTACCAATCAGTCGGCTTCGAAATTAAGATCACTGTCAATATAGTCTCCCTGGACTGTCTTTACAAGTGGGAAACACTTTTTTACTATATCATTATTTTGAAAAATAAAATAGAATTAAAATCCTGAAAATGGAAACGCGTTTCCATGGTAATATTATTTCCTTTTCATTCTTGGATAGATACCATATGATCGAAAAAAAAACAGTGTCAGCGATGGCTATGAAATGAACATCGCTGTAATTTTATATGTAAAATTATACAGTGTGCCAATTTTAAAACTTCCCACCCTTAATATCTTTCTTGCAGTTAAAAATATGAAAAATCGGAAAGACACGTCAATTTTATTTGTAAGGAGGACACTTCAAATGAATATTTTTAGCCTTTTTTTCAACCGCCTTGGAAGGGTAGATGTCACCCTTACAATCTTAAATAGGAATGGGGGTCAAGCGGTACATCGTTTTAAAGGGCGTTTAATTCTCTTTCCAGTGGTATCCTACTTTATTGCTTTTTTTTTTCCAGAGGTTTCCCAACAACTTCAACTACTTCAAATAATAAAGGCATTTTGAACAAGCAGTCCAAAGATAAAAAACGCTGTTAACACTATCAAAATGTTGATCTAATAACAATTTGACGTTTATACTATTACGTCAAAAGCAACTTTTTTCCAAAGCCTACCATGACTAAACTGAATCATCCTTTCTTGTTCACTGTTATTAATATTTTTTAATAATTATTATTAGATATTCATACATCTGGTATTATGGTATTCTGGGGGTATATCGTCGATTTTAAAATAAATTAACTGTTTCTATCTCTTTTTTATTAGAATGGGCATAATCAAGAGGGCTGTATATATTTTTTCTAAAAATAAGGTAATTAAGGGCTTATTTTTTGGTATTTATTATAATTTTGCTAATATCTTCGGTTTGAAGGAGGATATCAAGATGCCGTTTTCACTGACTTTTTAAGCATTTACTACTCTTTACTATCAGCTAAAATTAGATATACTATCGTATTTATTACAATCCAAAATTTACTGAAGATTATGAAGCTATTATTTATAGTACCCATTATCTAGGCAAAATTCTGTGAAAATTCTATTTTCTTATTTTCCATAGCAGTTACGCCCTCTAGCGGCCGTTTTACAAACTTGAAAATAATTTCCAGCAATTTCTCATAGCCCCTTTAGTTATAAATATTTTTTTTCCGTAGGCTCTACGGCTAATACTTTCCGAGATACAGCCGAGAGCTATTCTTAGTGGGACACCCTGTACATACATTTTAAACAACAATAGAGAACACATCGCCTATTTTTTTTTGATTTAACAAATACATTATAATATAGTAAATATATTATAGACTACTAATTAACAGTTACTAAAAATACTATATCTATATTACCAACACCAACTATGTACAAAATTTATTATTTCTAAAATGTCACAATGTCTTTATTACAAAAGTTTAATATCTGTCACGAAAATGATGATCGACTGTAAATATCAAAATATTAAAACTAATGAAAACACAAACTATAACAAATGAGAAATCAGTAATTATTTAAATAATGATTTAAAAATAACTTGACGGATCCCCAACATTTTGTGATGATTTTGTGTTAACCACGTGTCAACTAGACACAAACTGGACCATAGACGGTAGTCAATATAGAGCTGCCATGTCATCCTCATATGTAAATTAGAAATCTCTAATTTAATGTCTTTTGCGCCGTCTGCCGATGCGGAAGAAACTAAATTTGTAGTTCTATAAAATTACTATTGAGTGTCTTGGGCCTGGTTATTATTAATTTTGATTAACATATATAATATCTGTTATAAAGTCGTTAATATTATAATTAATTGTATAAATGTAATAATTCATATTCAAAATTTTAGATACTATCATTTTCTGTTGGAACACCATGGCTTTATAAAGCACCAGGAGCTATTCTGGGGCTAGCCAGTTCAGCTTCTTCGTCTGCTTCCGCTGCTGCAACTCCTTTATCTCATATCATTGACTTGAGGAGGAAAGAAGAAAAAAGTGCCCAGTTACAAGAAGATAAACAACTTTCCGGATCGGGTGAAATAGATGATAACAAAGAAGAAGTTGAAGCTAGTGGCGATGGAATTGATAAAGATGAAAATGAGGAAGCTAACGAAGCTTCTCCTAGTTTTATTACAAAAAAGGTACTTTATTTTAATGATTTACTTTTGGTTTTAAGAGCGGCTGACAAAAAGATCGAAAATACAAATATGGAAATTTGTATAGTTGGGTTTCCGTAAAAAATATCTTCTCTAAAAATATATCAATTATAGTTCATATTAAATGAACTTTTAGTCACGTGATTAAGCTTGACCTGCACAGCGTTGCCCACTTTTACATATTTTCTCTTTAATCAAAATAATTTAAAAAACAGAAATAAATTAATTATAAATATATAAACAGTTAATATTTACATCAACACATTTCAGCACTGACAGTACTACTAACAGCAATTAACGGACAGAAAAGGCCATTAATACCGCTTTCGTATTCAAGATATTTTAATAAAGTTGCGATGAGTTTTTGACGGCTATTAAGCTATCTTGTACATTTCGCACTAAAAAAGGTTCTAAAAAGAACAATGTTCGACTGCAAGATCTGCAGGAAAAACTTGTAATACATAACTAAAGTGTCAAAACGATGTCAGGAAATAAATAAATAAATGTGGCAACTTGACATTATTTACAGCAGAACTACCATCTAAATCCCTAGCGAAAAATTTAAATTCCAGTTAGTCAACCCGGCGACGAATATGTTGTTATGGTTGGCAACAATTAATTTAAAAGTCGCTTCCTCGATTACGTAACTAAAAGTTTAATTAGTATCGAATATATTATGCTAAATAGATACACTGAATAAAAGTATTAAAGACGGAGTATATCAACAAAATTATCTTTACCGCGATAGTAATTTAATATGGCTGACTTAAATTCCGTTTTATCGGTGTTATTCTAATTATTATATCATGATTAATGATAAAATGCTAAATGATAACATGTCCAAAAGTAAAAAATCGAAAAAATCAACAAAAATTGTTATTATTCAAAGTCACTATGTAATAACTCCAAGTCACTAGCTAATAGTAACTTTGAAAATTCATTTCATAAAATATTTTGTTTTCATTCCAGCTTTTTACATACCTATATATAGGCTGTCCCAATATTCCGTGGGCATATACTACTATATCCACGGAATTGTCAACACAATTTACCTTTATACAAAAGTGCTTCGTTTGTCCGTTAGAGGGCATCATAATTATAATTTTAGAAGATAATCATAAAAAATGTAAGCACTAGTTGATTAACAAGAGTATACTATTAATATTTATACCATTTCCACGGAATATTGGAACTTGGCATATATTTTGTAGGTCTGTAACTGGTATGTAACTGGTATGTAACCTGTAACTTGTAACTGGTATATATTTTGTAGGTCTGCTTTGGAAAAAAAATCTGAAAAATGTTTTTTCTCGATAAATATGCGTTGTGGCATTTTTTTACTAAGAGACCAAAATTGTAGTATAGTCTGTGAAACGAATAACTTTGAATTTGACAGTTCCGCGAGCTTTTCTAGTGTTAATTTTATTAGGTTAGCAACTTGCGGCCATGCTGACGCAATGCCGTCTCTAATAGAACAGCCTCGGAGCGAGATTTATGACGTCACGCTAGTTAAATACTAGGGATTAATAAATATGTTGTAAATATATACATGGAAAACATAATTCTTCGTATTTTTGTTTGTATTTTAAAAATCATATAGTTTACATGAAATATACATAATATACAGTTAATAAATACAATATATTAACATATTTATAGTAATAAATACTTTCGCAAATAAACTATGAACCATACAAATGCAGCAAATGTTTTACAATATACAAATAATGAATAGCTACATAAGATAATGGGTAAAATATAAAATATATTTTAAATTTTGAAGTTTGAAAATCCATCTAATTTAACAAACAACATTCAATGTCTACTACTTACTATGACTGAAATCGTACTCCATAGTCAATGTAGATAGTTTTAGTGTTAAGAATAATAATTTAAAAAAATACGTGGTCATCTTTTGACAAGTTTATATTAGTTTATTAATTGCAGTAAACATTATATGTGGTGTGTGGGGATTTTATATGTAATTTTTTTGGATTATATTCGACATTATTTTATTCATATGACAACACTGATAAAGGCTATGATGTTTTTTTTTAAACCACTTTCTTTTAAACCAAAAAAAAATAATGAAAAAACAAATGAAAACTTAATCAGCGTTTTTCCCGAACCTAAATCCCAAGAAAATCAAAAATTTTAGAATAATTTTACATATAAAATGACAGCGATCTGTATTTCATAGCCATCGCTGACTGAACTTTTTTTCTATGATATTGTATTATTTGCAAACATAATATGTCGAACATTGATACTTGCAAAATATACATATACATTTTGTGAATGCAAATAATAATACATCACTATTAGTAGATATTGAATGTTTTTTTTGTTAAATTAGATCGATTTTCAAACCCCAAAATTTAAAATATATTTTACATTTTACCCATTATCTTATGTATCTATTTATTATTTGTATATTGTAAAACATTTGCTGCATTTGTATGGTTCATAGTTAATTTGCCAAAGTATTTATTACTATAAATAGGTATATATATTGTATTAATTAACTGTATATTATGTATATTTCATGTAAACTGTATCATTTTTAAAATACAAACCAAAAATACGAGGAATTATTATTTTTTCCATGTATTCTACAACATATTTATTAATCCTTAGTATCTCACAAGCGTGATGTCATAAATCTCGTTCCGAGGCTGTTCTATTAGAGACGGCATTGGTCTGATATTTAGAAATGTCAAAAGCTGATGACATTTTACTTTTGACAATTGTGTTGATTTTTGCAAGAAGAGGAAGAACTGTCGCTTGTTTTATTCTTTTCCTTTTCTATTTCACGAAAGTAAAAGGAGTTACCTATCTGATTCGTTCAGACATTCAATTTAAAGAATATCAGTAACTTTTTTGATAGAGGGATTTTACATTTGCTCTGTTGGTAAAAAATAACGGTCACAATTCAAAGTTATTCATTTTATAGACTATAAATACTGGGGGATCCCTTTTACGAAAAAAATATCAGTGGTTAGTGGAATTTGAAAATATACTAAAATTTATGTAGGCGAGGGGGTAGTTCTCACCCTTTCCGTACTTTTTCTTGATTTTTGGAAATGTCAGATATTAAAGCGCTTAGTAAAACATAAGTATCCCAAATCTCATTCAAATCGGAATAACATATCTTAAAATAATTTTATTTTTTTAAAGTTTGATGCCTTCTAACGAACAAACGAAGCATTTTTGTATAGAGGTAAATTGTGTCCAATGAACTTATTTTAATCCCAAAAATACGTAGTAGTTCTGTCCACGGAATATTGGGACAACCTGTATATTAGGGTGTCCGTTATTTACCAAGTTGATCATTTCTCTCACGACGCCCTCTAAATTTTTAGTTTATTGTCTAAAAAAAATAACAGACCATTGTAAACCCTTAATATTCACATTAAACCCTAAAGACTATTTATTTCCCATTTAAATTATATGGGAATTTGCCACTTTTTGCAAATATTTTTTTTCTCTCGATCTTGTTCTCTCGCAGGCATCGCAATCACATAATATTCTTGTACAGAATTGAACGCTTTACAAAAAAGGTCTCTTACAATTTTTAGGTAAACCTACTTTTTCAAAATTTATTCACGGTTAAAGTTTGGTAAATTCCCAAATTAAACTCGGTAAATTCCCAAAGTTTTCAACTTTTTTGACAAAATCATGATGATTTTTGAAAAATTTAATCTAATACGGAAAAAATATACAATTCTGATAGTGTTAAGGTTGGGAATTAAGAAATCTTCAAGTCTAATGAAGTTTAAACCATTTATATATAAGTATAGCTGATTTATTTTAATAAACATTCTTGGTTAGGTTTTTAAAAGTTGGATTAGTTGGATTTTGATATTTTTTATATTTTTAACCGGCTATTAAGATCGGCAAAAAAAAAGTTTTTTAATTTCACTCAAAATTAGTTATTTGGGTCATAAATGACCTAAATACAAAATATTTTCATGGTGTCTGTCTGTCTGTATGCCCGTCTGTTCCTCTGTCCGTCTGTCCGTCTGTTCGTCTGTCTGTACACGATAACTCAAAAACCACGATTGAGATAAAAAAATTGGAAACATTCCTTTACTTTGAAACTAAAAGAACTGCCTACCAACTTTTTATTAACATATTTTAGTATGGGCGGCTAAATTCGTGCCTCCCAATTTTTTTTGTATGTTGGCAAGAATGTTTGTAAAGATAAATTCAAATCGTCAAGTCAATAGAAAAAAAAATGTTAGTAAGATAACAGAGATTTACCGAACTTACTTAAAATTAATTAATTTAGTACTGTAAAAGAATGCAAGCTCAAAAATAATAAGTATTAGAATTAACAACCTGTCATGCATTCAATGGTTTTCCATAATTCAAAATTGTTTATCATGGTATCATGAAAATTGCTTTTTTTAAATAATAGATTAAATTTTCCAAAATGGGAAATGAGGAGGAAAGCAAGGGGGCAAGGTTTAATGTGAATATTAAGGGTTTACAATGGTCTGTTATTTTTTTTAGACAATAAACTAAAAATTTAGAGGGCGTCGTGAGAGAAATGACCAACTTGTTAAATAAGGGACACCCTACTGTATATAAAAGTCAAGTTGTAATCATATAAATGTCAGATTTATTTATTGAACTCGTTGAATTGATTCCACTCCACATCTGTATTTTTTGATCATATTCGATAACTCAAATAATAGACAAATTTCCACTTTGTTGACAACTTTTTTGTAGTCGCTGTAGAATATAGTTATAATACACTGTTAGGTCACTATATTCCAAGCTTTTTATTTAATTTTAGGTTAATAAAATTTTAGCTAAGCTCCGATTAATAGCACAAATCAAAAACGTTTATCACTATAACAAGGATATACGTGAAAACAATTTTAAACCCAATCTCACGTTCAACATAACACCTGTCCAAAGTACTACTGAAAACGACCTCAAAAAAGAAGTTCTTAATACAACGGATCTTAAGATAGAACCAGTCAAAGAAAAATCTCAAAAGATTCAGCAAGTAACTCCTTATTTCTATAAACCTCCGAAAACTAGTATTGTTTTTCCAAAAGAAAATCTCTACGAACCAACCAAAATTGATATTGATGTGAATGCTGTAAATGACAAATTGCAAGAGACTAAAGAATTAAATGAAAAGATTCAGGAACCAGAACCAGGTCGGTTTGGACCAGTAGGAGTGTTCTTTGCTGAGCTTTTAGGAACAGTTGTAGGCTTAACTTACGGAGCAATAGCTCAATTTACTAGTGGAACCCAAAGTCCCATTGAGGCGAGTACAATGATAGTTACTTAAGACTGATTACTTAATTAAATCTATGAATGTTAGTTTAATATTTTATATAATTTTTGTATAAAAAATTAGATATTTAAATGTTTTTATTATAAGTATCTTAAAGTATTAAATGTTATTTATCTAGATATAACTGTTTGATTTACTGTTTATGCTTATATCGCCATTTTTAGCATATTCAATCATTTGAATCATTTCCAAAGGTGTAGTCTCCCTTACATATTTAGATAATCCCTTTTTAGTTGGGCCCATTGTTGTGTATTGTTGGTTATGCGGGATCAAGTTTCCCTGCTAATTTCCTAATATAATGGTCCCGTCTCAGGTTTGGTCTTCTTCTAAGTTTGTTAATTTCTCTAAGGTACCCTGCCCATTGCCACTTGAGGGATTTGATTCTGTGGATGACATCTATTAAATGGGCCCTTTTGTCGTATCCACTCTATTCTTTTAGAGTCTTTCTTGGTTATTCCCAGCATAATTTCGTTCCATTGGCGTTGTGCGATCTGCAATTTCCTTATGTCCATTTTAAGTATCCAGGTTTGGCTTGCGTATTGCATTAATATGTATGCTTATTTATTTAACATAAGAGATACCGTATAATCGAATGATAATTTTTGCGAGGCCAATCTCTAGACGTCTTTTACTAAAAATTGACATAAAATTTGTCAAAAATTATTTAATACTAATTACAGAAAAATTAAAAAAGGATGGAAGACATTACACCATTTAAAAATCAATTTTACTCAATTTAAAAATAAATTATACTTTCTTAAAGTCAACTGGCAGTGAACGCCATTAAAAAACCGAAGAATAACGGTCAAGTAAATGACATCTACTGCTTGACCTTGCCAAAATTATATTTGATTGTGATTCCTCAGTCCTCTACGTTGCTTTTTTTCGATCGTATGTTAAATAAATTGTACTCGTGTCTCAAAATGGTAACTTTTTTAACACATGAAGTTAATTCTTGGCGAATGCGCTAGAATATAGATAACATAAGGTTTGTTCCAACCAGCATTTCGGGATCGTTTCGAAATGATACTCGAATCGGTTTTCTTGCTTTTTGTTAGCATACGCGGACTTGGAATAGTTTCGTGATGGTGTAAAAAGTCTCAACGTTGAAACGCTTTGTGGATTGTTTTCGGGACTGTCAAGTGTCAAGCGTGCGTGTATCGATCGGTTTTTTGTTTTTCTTCGAGGAAACAAGAAAATACGATTATAGATTACCTAAATATTGTTCATTTTCTCCCTTTCACCCGCAGCAACTCCAAATTGTCACTATCCGAAGTGGAGGTAAAGAAATCAGTCATACCATCGTCACTCATCCTTAATTATTAACTACAGATAATTATGAAAGTGTACAATTTAAAATTTCCGAACGATTTACTCCACACAAACACACAAGTAAATTTAAAAAAAGTATAACGCACACGTATTCGAATTCGTAAAAAATAACCAAGACAGAAGCATCAGCCGGACAGTGGATCAGAATCAGCTGTTAAAAATCGATAATCCCTGCCAATAAGCTTTAATGCGCAAGTCAACCCAAACAGTTCTCAATTTGGACCATGTACCGAAATTACCCTTCTGAAATCGTAACTAAACGATCCCAAGGTAGGTTGGTATGCAAATAGGATCGTCAGAAAACCGTCAATTCTCGGTTGGAACACATTTGAATTATTGCGCACGACCGTGATCGTTCGGTGACGGTTCTGCGCTGGGTTGGAATAAACCTATAGTGTTAAAGTGTATGTGGCCCCATCTGTCGGAGAAGCGAGTAACTAAACCGTAGTTTGAAAATACCGCGTTTTTAATTGCGAATCGGACAATTTGGCGAGGGAATTTTATAAATAGTTAGTTGTGTGTTAAATTAGTATAAATTGTGAGAAAAATAAATTCGTTAAGTATTTTATCGTGAGTTTAAATTAGTGGACCCACGGAATCCGTAACAATAGTAATAGATAATATATAGAATAATCGTTAGCGTAACTATCAATTCATTCTGGGGGGGGCAGGGTCTTGCTCTCTGGGGGCTAGGGCGGGGGGGCGGCACCCCCGGTCACCACTGTTGTTACGCCAATGAGAATAATATAACTTTTTACCTTATACTGTAAAAGTGACTATAAATAATCACTATAAAATTTGTGAAATAATCTAGATATTTTGCCGCTAGAAACTAATTTATTCATTTTACAAAAAATTAACCCAGCACAAAGATATGAGCAGTAAGAACATAAAAACTTTATGAGTTAACCAATTTTGTAGTACTTTTTACCTATATATTGAATTTCATCAGATGTCATCGAATACAGATCTATTAAAAAGTGATGATATGTTTTAATCACTATATTATGCAATATTTTTATGTCATAATTTAAGTTAATGACTGGAGCGCCAGTATTGGTGTTTTTGATCTCCTGCCTGGATGTTCCAGCCTGACAGTTTAAAAAAATGCTGTTGAAAATTTACCATAAAAACATATTAAAAAATTGTTGTAAGCTGCTAAAGATTTTAGTTTGTGCAAACCAGTTTGTGCGGTGATATCATACGTGTAGACGGTATCAGCTACAATTTTGTGACTCTTATGGGTTTTATATTAAACAATAATGCGTCACTTGACATTTCCAAAAACGGAACCACAAATTCTGAATAAAAATAATAATGAATGTACGATCTTACTTGCATCGTGTGGACATCACAGTGTTCCTTCTATTTGGCGCAAACTATACCGTGCCGTATAGCCGTCGCTTAAGTCAACTTTCAGAGATGACTTAAGTCATTTAAATGATTTAAATAAAAAAAGACCTAAGTTTTTTGTCAGCTTACAGCTCTGTACATTTTTTTAACTTATTTTGTAAAAAAATTAGGCATATGTTGCTATTACTGTTATATTGAAATTGTCCGATATTATTTACATTAAATTGTCTTATTTTGTAAGAAAATCACTAATTGTGGGTCAGTGTATAATTCTTTATTAAATTTATATTACTATATTTTGTACAATACAAAATTTGATATATTTTTTGGTTGCATTACCTGGTAATTTACATTATATACTAAACGCATATATTTTAACTTCTGTTAAACTTAAAAAAACGATTTTTTCATAATATCTAAATTTAATACACAAAAACGCATTCAAAATCACTCATCTTCTAAAATAGCATGCTTCTTAACAGCCTTCGTTCTGAAATTGAACAGGCCGGCATTCCTCAACATAGTTGCGGCATAGGGATCGCCGAACGATGTAGCATGGGATGTGGCAACGCCGCCTTTGCCGGTGGAAAACGAGTTGGCAATTGCCGTGGCAGATCCAGGATATCCACCAGCGTCTTCGGCATTTGCAGAACGCGTTCGGGATCGTCCGGATGGTGAGCTACCTCCGATGAAAATAGGGAAAAAGGCGTTATAGGCTGGAATACCTCCTGCAAATATAAAAAAGAGTCCAATTTTCACGTAATAACAAAAACTAAGAAAATAAAGTTTTTCATTGAGAATAAATATAGCTGGAATAATCGCAATCTACTAATCGCAAGGGCCTAGCTCCTAAACCGCAAAAGAACTGCTAATACTTAGCAGGAAAAAAGTGCGGATTACAACAGGCCTCTTGACAGGACACATGGCTGTCAAGTGTTACCTGAACAAGCTCAACCTGTGTCAAGGAAGTCTTTGCTGCAGACTTTGCGATAAAGATCCTGAAACAGCAGAGCACATAATATGTCACTGCAAGTTTTGGATCGCAAGCGACACTTTTTATTTGGGAAAGCTAGGCTAGGATCGGAGGAACTAGGCTCCCATTCTATCAAAGGCTTGCATAAATTAGTGCAGGGCACAGGGATAGGAGAATGGGTGCAGATATAGAAAGGGGACAAACACAATATGCCTCACTGGTCGCAGTGTTTCATAGTCATGATTTCTCGGGGGAAGTATGAGCGCATAACTGCCGGACTGAGTATCAACACAGAGAAAAACGCTGTAGCGTCATTCACAAGGATGTGATATCTAAAAAACTTGAAAATAATCCTTCTAGATGAGAAAGAAATACTGCCATCATGGAAAGTTAAATATTTTGGGTTGCTCCTAGATAGGAGCAACCCTGATGGACAGTAAACTTCTATGGAACAGGCATATTAAGAACATTACCAGCAAAGTCGCAAAGGCTCACGTGACATACAGAAGACTTGCGAGAAATAGATGGAGCTGCGGCAATAACATTTTGCGCTGAATGTATACCATGATAGGACCCATAATTAAGCACATTCTTGGTACACAAAATTAGAGCAACGTAGAGCAAGAGCAAAACCGGTGCAAAAAGAGACTGGCATGTATTTGTATCTCAGGAGCAACCAGAACAGTGGTTTGTACCAAAAATAACTTCTTTAATATGTAGAAGCCTTTTTCCAAGAAACGAATCAGCCACAAAGTGCAGTTTTAGTGCAAAAATGCCAATCTTAGAGTCATAAAACAAGTATTACAAAGTATAATGTACTCAGTAATATTTATTTGTTGTGTTATAATACTTTGGTTACTAAGTGTGAACTTAATGAACATTATTAATGAATTACCAGCTAGATTTATACGTATTTGTTTATTTTTATAGAATTACTGGAAAATTATAGAATTGAGTCATAAAGTTATAGACAATATCTAAATTATAAGGACGCAATTTTTTTAAATAATTAAAATAATATATCGGATGCGTTTCAAAAGTGGGCTCACTCCTATAACTTTTTTATTTTTTCAGTTAAAAAAACGAGATTTGGTATGTTAGTATATGACATAAATTAGGATTGATTGACTTATTCAATTGTTTTAGGTCACTTCCTATTTCACCGGAAATGACTACAACTTTTGATTTTTAAATGGCACCCTCGGTATTATTTTACTTTATTATAAGGCTCCTTGATTAAGAATTGGTGTTGTTAACATAGCCATGGCGCTCTAGATTCAGTTTTAAAATACGATTTTTTATTAAGCGAGAATGTCAAAAGTTGACATATGATATGTCATTCTATTGAGAATGTCGTTTTCTATCAAATAAAGTAAAAAATACCGAGAGTTTCATTTAAAAATCAAAAGTCATTTCTGGTGAAACAGGAAGTGACCAAAAACAACTGAATACGTGAATCAATCTTAATTTATGTCGCATACTAACATACCAAATCTAGTTTTTTATCTGAAAAAATAAAAAAGTTATAGGGGGTGAGCTACTTTTGAGACGCACCCGGTATTATAATTATTGAATACGTTTATTTTCTTTCTTCTTAAAATTTTATTAAAGGATTTATTTAATCCTAAAATTTTAATAAAACTAGCTTATTCCTCTGGCGAAAAAACGAGAAATTTATTCATTACTGGCTTTTAGAGTTCTTCCGCGTTAATTATATAATCCATCAATTAGCTTTATAAACTCTAATTGACCGAGGGATATTCAGTATTGAGGTAACAAAAATCAATTTCTAATTAAATTTTTATTTCTAGAACTCTTAGAATATTAAACAGTTCCTATTGCCCTCTGTGGAATATGCTTATATTAAATTTTAAAACTCTATAATAGAATATGACAAAATAAAAAAGATATTAATAATAAATGACAGTTGACAGTTAAATAAAAACCATTTTAAAAGAATAAAAGCATTAAAAATCCTGGACAGGAGAAAAACCTTTTTTTCTTGTTGTTATACAAGAACAACCAATATGAAAAAAAATCTTTTCAGTGTATTTTCAGTGGTGGCATATTTTAATAATAGTAAATAGTCCTACTGCAGTATGGTTATTGATATGTATTTCCGGTATTTTTTTAAATTCTGGTACCATTTCCTGTACAGAGCATAGGTGACCTAAGTGGTAGATATATGTACTTGTGATGTGTATTATCAGTTTTTTACAAATACACGGGATCTACATTTTATGGCTATATCTAAATGGCACTATTTCAGAGGCTGTAAGAGGCAAATGTACTGAAATTGTTTTTTGTACTGAAGGTACAGACATTGTTTACAGTACTGGTATATTGAATGTGACATACCATTACTTCCAATGGCGACTTGATTATCGTTCTATATAGGTAAGCAAATATTTTTATTTAAATAAATTTTGGGTTGAGGATAGAAATAGTCATTTAATCTGATTGTCAGATCAAGATCAACATCAAATCAGTAACTACCAAATTGAAATTGGTTAAAGAATACCTAGAGAAGCTGAAAAAATTAGGCAAAGAAAATAAAGTCCTCCTAATCTGTGTGTCAGTCCAACAAAGTTAGGGAGGCAATAAAAAAGCAAACAATCTAGCTAGAAAAGAAGCTAAGACTCCACTATCTGGACCAGAACCGTTCTGCTTCCCAAGTGGAATCCAACTTAAAACAGAACTTAAGAACCTGGAAGACTCCGGCCGTAACTTGAAATGGGAATCCTTCAATTGCCTAAGACACACGAAGAAATTTCTCAGAACTTACGACCGAAAAAAATCAAAGAATTTCCTTGATTTAAGTAAGAACAGTCTTCGGATTGTCACGGGATTTTTAACAGAACACAGTCTCCTCAATAAACATTTCAGTCGATTGAAGCTCAAAAAGAACGGTGATTGCAGATTCTGTAGGGAAAATGGGAAAACTCCTCATCACTGAGTGCGTCGAGACGACAACCATTCGTGCCCTAAACTTTGGTACAACTGATATTGGAGATGGAGAACTAACCTTTGTAAACCCGTCTCAGATACTGGCTTTAGTCTAAGCCCTGAGACTGTATGATGAGTTATGACTCATGAAACGTGGATATAGTAGATATACATAACGTGCTGGCAACTGTTACTCTTGGGTCGGTATTTACATGTGTGGAAGTAAATCGCATAGGGATCTTATTAAGTCGGAGTGAGAGAAATGCGACGGAGTGTTGTTGCGGCGTTGCCGGTACGCTTTTCCCTATCAAGTAAAGTAAAATTACGATCGCAAACCGCTTATTTGTAAAAGACTTTTTTCGAAAAGATAACTAGATAAAATCATTAAAAATGTTTCTGAGCATCTGAAATGGAATTATAAGGATATCTTTAAGGTGTCATTTTTTTATAACGAGAAAACGTCAGTAATCGCGATAATTTAAAAACTCAACTTTTTAACACATAACACGCCATAACTCAAGAAACGCTTTAGATATTGAGACTTTTTTTATTTTGAAGATAGGATCTTTTACAATATGTTTACATAAGAAAAATTAATTAAGGTTGATTTTTTCCAGTCAAAAATTGTAAACAACCCATCTATTTACTTTTAAAGCATAGCAAATTTCAGCAGTCTTGTAATTTTTTTATTGATAAAGATTTTCACTTACTGTCTACGAAGAAAATACAGCAGAAATATTAAGAAAGTCTGTTGTTGAAAGTTTGAAAAAACTACAACCAATTATTTCTAATAGATTTGGAGATATGGATTTTTGAATTCAGAGTTCTAATAGCCCGACCACTGTCGAAAACCCACTCAATTCCACTTATTTTTACCAAAAATGCAAGTGTTTCTAGCTTGCACTTAAAAATTTTCAAGCTATAAATTACTCGTTAATAAATAAACAAATAAAGTATCACGAGACGTAATTAAATCGTGAAGCTGAACGCATGATGTACACCTTTCCCTAGAACTTTAAGTACTTACTGATTGGGTCGACCGGTCAACTGCGATAAATCTGCTATATCCCCTTCCACGTCTCTTAAGCAATGTGCACAGTTTCTCGATTCATTTCAAACGTTTGGTAACGTGTTTACTGTTCTCTCTTTGTTCAGTACATTATAAACGTATTGTACTCTTCTTACATACGGAAATCTCGACCTAAGACTAACCTTTGCCAGCCCTTAGTATAAGGTTGCGGTGATTAATTTCCCCTCCCATAGATTCTAGATTCTACATTCTACCAGCTGAGGATGAACAGCTGAACTGATAAATTCGTATATTTACTCTAATTTAACTGTTTCAACTTTAATTTACTACATCGTTCTAAGAATATTTATCTTGATACTTTCGATTTCAAAAGTCATTTTTATTGATAATTTTCCTTACCCCTTCCTGTATTTCCGAATGGCCAGTTGGCAGGAACTCCAGATTCTTCTTCTTCATCCTCTTCTTCGTTAGCTACTGGAGCTGCAGTTGTTGTAGTAGGTTTTCTAGCTTTTCCTGTTTTTATTTTTCTACCAGGAGCTAAAACATTAAATATTCTAATAATATGATGATATTATAGATCAATCTTAAACTAAAAATTATTTTTTCTTTTCCTATATTATTATAGTAATTTAGATTTTTACGTTTTATTATAGTAATTTATATTGGTGTTGCTTTTAGATCATCACAAAACTTTATGAGTAAAATCTGAAATTACCTTTTGCTGGAACTCTAGTAGTGGTTGTTACTATAGGGACTTCGGTGGTTCCTTCTTCCAAAGTAAACAATGTTTCTTGTTCATTTTGTAAAGGACTTTCATTTTCGGTCTCGTTTATGGATTCTGGTTCTTGTACGGCAATTAAAAGGGGTTGCTGTTTTTCAGTCACCTGTTCCGATACTTGCTCATCTTGAATCTAAATGTTTGCCATCATTTAGTTTAAAATCATTAAACAAAAATTATATTTTTAATCGAACACAAATAGGAATGCTTCTCCAAGTTTATACAAGGTGAGTCTTAAATAAGTGCAAATATTTTTAGAGTATATTTCGACCCCAGAAACACGATTATGAGGTTTGGTTTGGTCAAAAAATGTTTTCTCTATTTCTATATTTTACTATTTCTATATAATTTACTATTTTATGGATACCACTGTTCATTAAAATGTTGTATCCTATGTTATAGGGCCTGTTTCTCTCTACAATTTTCTCTCACAATGTACCGTTTATGTCCAGGAAGGGTTCATAGTTTCATAGATGTCGATTTTCGAAAGAAATCAGTACATGTATATTATTTCGTATATTTTTCATTTTATTCATTTTATGGATAGCACTGTTCAATTTTTTTAGTAAAATATAGAAATAGAGAAATATCATTTCTTGATAACGTAGCAACATATGTAGGTAGTAAATTAAATTTACAGAAAAGAAAACGCAGAAAAGATCCAGTGGTTCTCAAAATTTAAGCCAAAAATCTTTCTTTTAATTTTCAAAGTAAAATAATTCGGTTATTTAAAAAACGGTGACGAAAAAATATGTTTCTTTTATCGAGATCTACCAGCTCTGAAAATATTTGCAATTATTTAAGACTCATTCTGTATAAAAATTTCTTTAATGTATACATCTATTTTTTACTGAAATATGATTAATAAATCTTCTATTGATTTCTGCAGATTTAAATTGGATAACTTTGTTTATCAAATATATCTTTGTTTTCATTATTTTTAGACAGTATACATTACACCCTATGAAACATAATGGTCCATGTTTTTTATTACAACAATAATTACACATTTATTATTTATGGGTAAGTCTGAGTAAGATAAGATCGTAAACATTCTGAGAAGGGTATCGACCGAAGTTCAATTGTAATGCAGCGCCACCTATATTTCGCACCGTGGGATTGAGACTGAATTAAAAATGCAAGGGAATAACAATGTACCTACTTGTCAAGAGAAAAAAACAAGCCTGTCGCCCTTAAAATAAACAAGGCATTATTTCAATAATTTAAAAATGAGTTAAAATAATTATCAATAGGAAATTTTTGAATGATACCGTTTTTCTCAAAAGTGGCTCACCCTTATAACATTTTTATTTTTTTTAGATAAATAAACGAGATTTGGTATGGTTTTCGGTCAATTTCTGTTTTTTTTAAATAAATGGCTTGATGTTTTTACTTAATTCGATAGAAAATGACGTATCGTATGTCAACTTTTGATATTCTCGCTTAAAAAAATCTCACTGTAAATTGAAATTTAAATATTTTATATTTCAATTGAGAGTGACTGTGTTTTTAATAATAATAAGCACTAATTTTTAATTACGGAGTCTTGGAAAAATATTTTTAATATACTACATAACGTGGTATATTGAGTATTGACGCTTCCAAAACCAAAGCAGGGACAGTGATAGGAGTACTGGGGCCGAAAAATAAATACTCTGAACCAATAGGCCTCAGCACCAACCTCAGCATCCTTCAGGCAGAAATCTACCCTATCAATTTATCTTAAATAGGAACTATTGAAAACAGGAAATAGCCATCTTATCCGATAGTCAAGCAGCACTAAAAGCGATCAACTCAATAACCATCGATTCGAAGTTGGTCAAAGAATGTCTAGAGAGGCTGAAGAAATTAAATTCGAAACTCGAATTCTAAGGGGGTGAAACTATCCCTCAAATATCAAAATATTTTTTATTTAAAAACCGGTGAGTTTTTCGGAAAAGCTCTCGAACACGTATATTTTATTGTGTTGTTTTACATATTTTAAGATTTTTTATAAATTTATACAAAGTGTTTCATAAAATATGACCATTGGGTAATCACGATTCTGCTTAAACTGATTGACGTTTAGAGCTGATTTTTGGCAAACGGATTGACTGTGGGGTGTAGAGGTTCGATAAGGAGGAGTCTCGAATCTCAAATTCCAAGAGGGTGAAAAAGCCCCTCAAATATTACAATATTTTTTATTTAAAAAACGGTTAGTCTTTCGGGAAAACGCTTGGACACGCTACTGTTTGACGTAAAAAGCTTATTTTTGGCAAACGGATTTTTCGAAAGTCAAATTCCAATGAGATGAAACTACCCCTTAAATATTACCAGGTTATATAATAATATCGCCATATTGTTTTTTCTCATGCTGACATAAATGTGAGAAAATTTTATCCAGTTTTTATGTTAACGGAAATTCTTGCTTTGCTTTATCATCACCATTACAAATGATTAATTCGACGCGAACGAAGTCGCTGGTACACGCTAGTAACGTTATAAATTTTAATAATAATTTATATTATAAATGAGAAGTTATAACTCGTTATTACTCAAGAAAGGGGAAAACACAATAGATCTGTAAGGTCGCGGTGATTAACCCCCTCCTAAACATTCTATATTCTACATTCTGTATAAATAAAAGCAGTGTTATAGTACTATAAGTGAAAGAAATGTCCAGAAAATATCTTTATTAATAGATACAACTAAAGTGGGAAATAAAAACATGTGGAAAGCTACGAAGAACTAAGAATAACAAAGAGATTAGATAACATTATGGATACAATTTTAAGTACATACATCAGTAGGACTAGTAAGCTGGCAGATAGTATACCGGGTGTTGCATCGTCGTTGAGAACATAGGAAATCCCATGCAAAATTTGAACTGTCCAGATATTGGCTCCCCTATGGATTTTATAGCGTCGTCAATAGACTTTTTAAAGGCCTACATTTGGTAAACACACATGCCAAATTTGAACAATTTTGGACAAGCCGATTTTACGTAATTTGAGAAAAACTTAATCGATTTTTAAATTAAAACTGAATAGATAACAATCAAACACCAGTCAAAAACCGACATTGGGACAGTTCAAATTTTGCATGGGATTTCCTATGTTCCCAACGACGATGCAACACCCGGTATGATGTAGAATGTAACACAATGTGTATAGGCAAAAAGAAAAAATAATTATACATATTATGCAATTTGTTTAGCTTAAAGATTATTTCTCACTGACTTCAAACAACTAGAAATATCAAAATAAAACTCACCTCAGGTTGTGATTCGACTGAAACTGGTACGACTGGCGATGGATGACTATACGGTGTACCAGAATACGAATTGGTGGCAACGGTGTCTCCAATAACCATCGCTGTCATTTGGCCTGGAGCAACATAGTCATATCCCTCCCTTACATACCTTGGATTGGAATAGACAGAACCACCCAGCATATAACTTCGAGGATACAATCCTATATTAAAAGAACACGAAATTGTTTATTTTATTTCTATACATTTTTGGTACTTTCATTTTTAGTTATTTTTTTATACTTTCGAGAGACGATAATGCAATTTTATCGTCGTGTATAAAACAATATTTTTTCCATAGCGAGTTACGTTTTAAAAAATATTCAGAAATTATTATTTTAAGGAATTTATTAGGAGTAGAAAAAAAATTATGCTGGGTTGGCGTTGGTTTCTATGTAATTTGACAAATAAATAAAGCTGTCTCTTTAGTTGTCAGTTTTGAGTCAATATTTTTTAATTCTCTTTCGTGTCGATTGCTTATTGAATTGGAGCCAGAAATGGCTTAAAACGAAATAAGTAAATTTACCAACAGATATTCAGGCTGAGGCAACAAACGCCATATCCATTTATAATAATACTTCCATTTAAATGCCGAATAACTTATGAAAAGGAATACAAAAAATTTCAAAAATGGAAGCAATTAAAAAACGTGCGAGAAGAAATAAAGTTTTAAACATATCCTCGCTGTTGAAGTATCATTTAATCTACCCTTGCGGTTAAAGTACTATTTTATCTACTATTTTTGATAGATATAAGGCAATTTTAACAGTTGCTATGGAAAAAAAATCGCTACAGGTTGTAATTAAAAATTTTTCTTGAAAAATAAATATACCAGTTATTTTATGATTTAAGTTCATTAAAATATCTAAACCATTTTAGAATACTGAAAATTTTCTCTAGTCTGACTGATAATTAGATATGCTTTGAACTCTATTAAGAAAATACAACTAAGTTCATACCATTTTTATATAACTCATTAAAACTTACAAAATTATTTTTTTTAAAAATAGCAGATATTTGCATAAAGCTGAAACTTTCATTTAACTTTTTTTAATAGGAGAATTTATTTTAAAATAGTTTTTTTTCTAAATTTATATTATCTTGTACTCTTTTAAATTAAATTATATTTAATTTATTAAACTTGCTTTCTTAATAGCATTTATTGTAGTCCTTTTGTTATAGTATTTGATCGTAAAAAATACGGTTTTTAAGACGGCTGAGGAAAGACAAACAATAATAATTTTGGCGAGGTCAAGCACTAGACGTCATTTACTTGACCCGTACTCTTCTTTATTTTTTAATGCCGCTAAGTGCCAGGTGGCTTTAAGAAGGTTGTAATTTGTTTTTTTATTGAATAAAAATTATTCATAAATGGTCCTTAGAATTGGAGAAAAATGTTTTTTTTTGGAATTACATATATGTGTCTGGCAATGTTTTATTCCTTCATAATATGTCTGTAGGTACTTATAGTGTTAATTTTCGACAAATTTTTAAATATCCATGAAATTGTATGTTTCCATCTGCTATAAATACTTCTTAAAAGTACACTTTAAAAAATTGTTTTATGTTTTCTCAAATAAGAATTATTCAAATGAGGAGTAGAGGAATGATTGTAGGATGTGAGAGGTGTAGCACTATACAGGGTGGCGCACCTCATTCGCCTCCGTTGATTATACGATAACGGAAAGATGCAGAAACAAATTTTTTTATGGGTATATGTAGAGAGGCAATGTGCATCGAAGAACACCCGGTATTTTATTTAATTTTTGGATACTTGGGCATAAAATAGGGCATTTATTATAAGGGTTTAATATGTTGAAATGCTTTGGTTTTTGAGATGCTTTGATTTTTTAGCATGCATATTTAAAGATATTTAAATATGCATGCTATAATGAAAAAGTTTGTAAACACCCTGTACATTACTTTTCAGAGTTAATTCTTGTGCTGACTTTGAAGCCAGAGAAATAAACTTTACTAAAAAATTGTATTGCTTCCTTAAATGTATACAGGGGTATCAAAAATTGCTGGTCTATTTTAAATATATATTTTACATAAAAACTTTGTTATTTCAAACACAACTCTATGTATTTTTTTAAATAAGTCGAGGTAGATTTAAATGCACTTTCAAACTATATAGGGTTTCCTATACCTATCTGGCTCAGATTTTGAATAAAAAGCGATTTTTCAATAAAATGGCAATCGAGATGGCTGGTGTCGCCATGGCAATTTGCTAGTACCAGTTAGTAGGTATTTTCAAAATCGACATTAGTTTATGGATTTTATTTAAATTTGTAACAGTATACTTTTAGAAAAGTTAGTTACTCAAGAAAAATAAAGAAATAGTTCTTTGATTTATATTACGATGACTTGTAGATATATTGGATTTTATATAAAAGAGCCAATTAAGGCAAATTCTTTTTCTTCACTTCCAACGAAAGATTTCTGCCTAATAGGTTTTTCATATACCACACTATCAGCTCTGCAAAATAGGAAAAGTAGTTTTTCAAAGGAACGCTTGTCATGAAAATTCCTATTTGGACATCTTTGAGCATAAACCCTTCAAGCCAACCAAACAATTGTCCTCACAATATAAAATTACTAGTAACATATCCATTTCTTCCGCAAGCAGATACTGCTTCATTTTTTCTTGATAAAATATTAAATACTTACTTATTAATCTTATTGTAGGTAAATTAAATAAAAATAACCTGTTACAAATTTAAATAAAGTCCATAAACTAATGTCAATTTTGAAAATAGCTACTAAGTGTCACTAGGAAATTGCCATGGCGACTCCAGCCATCTTGATTACAATTTTATTGAAAAAAAGCTTTTTATGCAAAATCTGAGCCAGATAGGAAACCCTAATATAGTTGGAATGAGTATTTAAATCTGCTTCGACTTATTCAAAAAAATACATAGTGTTGTATTTGAAATAACGAATTTATTATCTTATGTCAAATAAATATTTAAAATAGACCAACAACTGTTTTTAGCGTCTTGTTCTGACCGGTTAAAAGATCCTCAAATCGTATTTTTAATCATATCTCAATTTTTTCAAATAGAACGAGGGTGGCTCATTAGCATATTTGGAAAAAGCATTTTTTTCTTTTTTTAGCAAAAATTTCTTTATGCTATATGTATACTCATACCTTTTGTTAGTTTTCTTGAGTAGTGATTTTTGTTTTCTAAAGAAAGAGTCTATTTGTGATAAATATATCAAATTTATTACTTAATTTATCTGAGAAAAATACGTTTTTAAGGTACATTTACAGTTTCTAAACCGGGATCCCCGTGTATTTATTCCCGAAATCCCGAGATCCCGTAAAACTAGAAAAATGTAAATGTCCAATCTACAATGATTCGGCATTATACTCTTTGTCTTTCAAAGATCATTTTTATTTATACTAAGCAGAATGCCAATATGTAAAAGTTATATTTCCGTGTTTACTATATTTTATTTTGTTTTATAACAAGAATTGTCTTTTTTTACTAGCTAACTATGAATGTTACTTAGTTTTGTCTATTTTAATAACGCTCTTTTCTGATTTTCTTTTTGATATATGTATCTGCTTTTTTATTAAGTATTTCTTTAGATTAAATTTCTTCTTTTGATAGTCAATCCCGTTTTACAGTCCCCATTTACAGTACATTGTTAAAAATGTTTTAATTCATCGCTTTAAATTATCCAAATGATAACAGAGTAATGTCAATAATGTTAGATTAAAGAAATTGTTCTTACTTAAAAATTCTTAAAAATAAAACTCCTTGGATTAATATTTTTGGGAATTTTTCGGTAGAATTAATAAGTAATATAATTTGTTTTAATATCAGCATATAAGATAATTTATTAAATTACATTACCTTATACCGGGTGCGTCTCAAAAGTGGCTCACCCCTATAACTTTTTTATTTTTTAAGATAAAACAACGATATTTAGTATGTTAGTATATGACATAAATTGGGATTGATTGACGTATTCAATTATTTTCGGTCACTTCCGGTTTCACCGGAAATGACTACAACTTTTGATTTTTAAATGGCGCCCTCGGTAATTTTTTACTTTACTCGACAGAAAATGACACTCTGAATCGAATGACATATCATATGTCAACTTTTGACATTTTGGCATATGGTTTATTTGAAATTGTAATATGCGGTTCATAACGACAATTTGACTCAAAATTGAAAAAGTGTGTGGTATCAAATTATTCGTAAAAAAATGTTTTTTCCAAATATGCTAATGAGCCACCCTCGTTTCATTTGAAAAAATTGAGATATGATTAAAAATACGATTTAGGCATCTTTTAACTGGTCAGGACAAGACACTAAAAACATTAGACAATCAGATCTATTTTTCCAAGGCTCCTTGATTAAAAATTAGTGTTTTTAACACAGCCATGGCACTCTAGATTGATATTTAAAATAGAATTTGTTTTTGAGGGACTATGTCAAAAATTGACATATGATATGTCATTCGATTCCGAATGTCATTTTCTATCGAATAAAGTAAAAAAATGCCGAGGGTGCCATTTAAAAATCAAAAGTTGTAGTCATTTCCGGTGAAATCGGAAGTGACCGAAAACAATTGAATACGTCAATCAATCCCAATTTATGCCATATACTAACATACCAAATCTCGTTGTTTTATCTGAAAAAATAAAAAAGTTATAGGGGTGAACCACTTTTGAGACGCACCCGGTATAATAATTTAGATATATCATTAGTTCAAAGTAATTAGTAAACATTTAATTCAAAATGTTTTAATTTATTTTAAAGCGGTTTAAATATTTACTTGTGTTTTTTGTAACTCTCTCTTTATTAAACTACTCTTTTTTTTAATATTTTATTTAGATGTTCAGTTTTAGTTGTTTAAGTTGTTTTTTAAATGGCAAAATGGCATTTTTTTTACATATTATTTGATATGTTTTAGTATTTTTTTAATTACCTATGCACTTTTTAAAAATAATTAATTTAAAATAAACAAATGTCAGTGACTAAGAAAATTATAGTGATATAACAATACATGTATATGCAGGGTGAGTCTTAAATAAGTGCAAATATTTTTAGGGGTAGTATATTTCGACCCCAGAAACACGTCTATTAGGCTTTTTTCGCGAAAAAAGAATTGAAAATTTGGAATTTTTTGAATTTTTTTTTAGTTAAAAAAATAATTTATTGATAATATGATAGATTAAATTTACAAGAAAGAAAACCCAAAAAAGATCTAGTAGATCTCAATATCTAAGAGATCTAGATCTCAATCTCTCAATCTCTAAAGATCTAGATCTCAATATCTAAGCAAAATATATTTTTTTAAAATTTTTGAAGTAAAATAACCCAGTTGTTTTTGACTTAACCGAGAAACGGTAAAGAGTCGAGATCTACCAGCCCTGAATATATTTGCGCTTATTAGACTCACCATGTATGGCCCGGTACTAAGTTAATGAAATTTTTACAAATATGTTTTTTGATTTTTTTAATTATTAACAATAAAAATAACAAAAATTTCTTACTGTATCTTGAAGGATAAGCACTACATAATCCCAGGACACCAACCAAACACAAAAGTTGGAAAAATTTCATCTTGAATTGTGTGATGATAGCACGTCGAAATCAAAATTAAAAAAACTAACTTAAGTGTCAAATGGCAATTTGATTTTTGATTATGGGGATACCATGTGAGATGGTATATATGTCGCAATCGTCATCCCCACTATTTTCTTGTAATTCACATGGACAACACCTGGCAGAATCTAAAGATTCCACACACGTCCCGATTTATAGCTTGTTTTATAAGCGTTACTTAAATTACTTGACATTTTTGTTTTAATAGCAGGTAGAAGTAATGTTTTATTTGATATTCAGAAGCTGACCCTCCGCATTGTGGATCTAATATCATTTATATCTTTAAACATATTTCATATTTATCTTATAAAAATTATATTTTGCTCTTTTGATAATTTTATTTTACTTAGTGTATATCTAAGTTATTGGCTTTAAAATTCAGTTAATTTAAATAATTGTTAGTATTATTTTGGACACTAATCTTAGATCTTTCAAAGATTTTTTTAAGAATTATTTTTATTTTTTATTTCGTTTTCTGTTCAGATTGGGGCCTTTTCAACTATCTTTTCTCTATCTATCATTATCGTATTATCATTAGATAAAAAAAAATATTTAAAATATGAACTAGTTGATTGCAGTGAAGTGTTTTTTTGTCAGTCTTGTGGTCCGAATCACTGATTGCCTGAATGATTCGGAATAATTAAAACCCTTTAATTACCATATTATTGTTTATGTTTAAGTAATTTCTATATATTTATTTTTTATATGAAATGAATAAAATTCTTACAGCTTTAGTGTATATTAATAAATAATATTTTCTTGCCTTTAGCTGTGTATTTTTTCTAATTTTGAAAAATTGAAAGTAGAGAAAAAAAAAGTAAAAAGAAATTGTTTTGCTTGTCGTAAAGGGGGGAACTAAGCTCCACACCCACAACCGGTTTCTGGGCCTACCCTTCATCAGGTGGGCTGTCCAGGGGCTGGTTCTCACCGATACGACAAGCAAAACCCTTTTAATATCAACAGACGATGTCGTAAAGTGTCGGTGAGATATTAGTGCATCTCCCGTCAAAAAATGGTAAAGAGCGTTTTTCGGCCCGCTAAATATACTTATATGAAATGAATAAAAATATTGAAAGGGTTTTGCTTGCCGTATCGGTGAGAACCAGCCCCTGGACAGCCCACCTGATGTAGGGTAGGCCCAGAAGCCGGTTGTGGGAGTGGAGGTCGGTTCCCCCCTTTACGACAAGCAAAACAATTTTCTTTTTACTTTTTATTTTTTTTCTCTACTTTCGATTTTTCGAAATTAGAAAAAAATACACAGCTAAAGGCAAGAAAATATTATTTATTAATATTTTTTTTTTAATAACTAGTTTTTCAGTTGAAATTCTATTCTGTAATGGACAGAACCTCATAGATTTGCAATAGACATCGATTAATACAATAAGAAAGCACTATGCGGTGTTGTCATTCATGATCTCATTCATCTTCATTTTCAGCTTTTTCAATCATTTCCAATTATGGTGTAGTCTCCCTCACATATTTAGATACACTCTTTGTAATTGGGCCCATTGTTGTCTATTGTTGGCTATGCGGGCCCAAGTTACCCTTGCTAATTTACTAATATCATGATCCCATCTCAGGTTTGGTCTTCCTCTAGGTTATTCGATTCCTCGTGGGTACCATGCTCTAATTTTTGTGGTTACATTGTCCGCTTTTGCCAGTTGTCCTGCCAATTGCCACTTTAGGGATTCGATTTTGTGGATGACATCTATTACCTGGGTCTTTTGTGGTATCCACTCTATTCCTTTGTCTCACTCTGTTCCTTTGGTATCCACTCTATTCCTTCCTCTCTTGGTTATTCCCAGCATATTCCATTCCATTTAGTGTTGTGCGATCTGCAGTTTCCTTATAATGTCCGTTTTAAGTGTCCAGGTTTCGCACGCATAGGTCATGACCTGAAGTACACATTGGTCGAATGTTTTCTTCTTTATATAAAGTGGTATTCTAGATTTCAATATGATTGAGTTTCTTCCATAAGTATTCCATGCTAACTTAATTCTTCTCTTAACTTCTGGTAGTAAGATCCCGAGCTGTGTATTAGTTGCCAAAAATATAGATATTCTTCTACTATTTCCAGTGTTGTGTAATTTACTAGAATGTCTTTTCTCTCTACCAGTTTGTTGTACATTACTTTAGTTATTGCTAAGTTCTTCAGGGCTATTGGCAATTAGGACTATGTCGTCAGTGAATCTTAGATGGTTAAGATATTCTCCATATATTTTTAATCCTTTGTTTGTCCAGTCGAGTCGATTTCTTCTCGAAGATTTCTTATAGTGTTGCTGTAGACAGCATTGGAGATATTGCATCTGTCTGTCGTACTCCTTTGCCAGTTGGGAACTCTGGGGTTGTTTTGTATATCATTGCTCTTGCTTTGGCTTCCTTATATACAGGGTGGCGCACCTCATTCGCCTCGGTTGATTATACGAAAACGGAAAGATGTAGAAACAAAATTTTTAATGGGTATATGTAGAGAGGCAATGTGCATAATTAAAAATTATTTTCAAATGTACAGGGTGTGTCGGAACTAAGATCCATACCAAAGTTATATTTTTCTTATGGAACACCCGGTATTTTATTTCATTTTTGGATTCTTGGGCATTAAATAAGGCATTGGATTTTTGGGCATTTATTATAAGGGTTTAATATGTTTAAAACGTTTGGTTTTTGAGACATATAAAGATATTTAAATATGCATGTTATAAGAAAAAACACCCTGTACATTACTTTCCAGAGCTAATTATTCTGCTAACTTTGAAGCCAGAGAAATAAACCTTACGAAAAAAAATTGTTAATTCCTTATATGTATACAGGGGTATCAAAAATTGCTGGTCTTTTTTAAATATTTATTTTACATAAAAACTTCGTTACTTCAATAATACAACAATATATATTTTTTAAAATAAGCCAAAGCAGATTTAAATACTCTTTCAAACTACATTACGATTTCCTATGCCTACCTGGCTCAGATTTTGAATAAAAAGCGATTTTTCGTAAAAATGGCAATCAAGAAGGCTGGTGTCGCCATGGAAATTTACTAATGACAGTTAGTACCTATTTTCAAAATCGACATTAGTTTATGGACTTTATTTAAATTTATAACAGTTTACTTTTATTTAATTTACCTACCTAAGTTTATTAAGTAAGTATTTATTATTTTATCAAGAAAAATATAGAAGTAGGTAGTTCTTATATGACGACGATAGGTATATTGGATTTTCTATCAGAGAACTAATTAAGGCAAATTCATTTTCTTTACTTCTAATGCCAGGTTTCTGCCTAATAGGTTTTTCATATACCACACTACCAGCTCTGCGAAATAAGAAAAGTACTTTTTCAAAGGAACTTTTGTCAAGAAAATTCATATTTGGATATAATAAAATAAAATCACTAGTAACATATCCATTCCCTCCGCCAGCAAATACTGCTTCATTTTTTATGATAAAATAATAATTACTTATTAACTTTAATGGAGGTAAATTAAATAAAAATAACTTGTTATAAATTTAAATAAAGTCTATAAACTAATGTCGATTTTGGAAATAGCTACTAAGTGTCACTAGAAAATTGCCATATCAGCCATCTTGATTATAACTTTATTGAAAAATCGCTTTTTATTCAAAATCTAAGCAAGATATTGTTCCAAAATCCAATATTGTTGAAAAAAAAAACTTTTCAATAAATGAACCCGCCACAGAAGGCTAGACATTATTTAATACGATTCCAAGATGCACATTATGACTCAACACAACATCTATGACGTAAAATGTGATGTATTGAAATGTATCGGTAGTAATTTAGAATTCTTACCTTAAGCCTTTTGTGCATTGTTTCTGTTTAATATGGCTATTAAAATCATATTACTCATACGTTATATTTTTCGCCAATAAGAGCTTGCAGTTTTCGTCTGCTACCGTCATGAGGTCAACAGACGATTGCAAACCTGTTTTACAAATAATTGTAGAAAAGTAATAAAATAGCTAAAACAATATAAGGATCAAGCATGCTTATAAGGATTTACATTAGAATTTTTAAATCTGTCAAAGGGGGAGCTTGCTTAAATAACGTATAAAACTGTTTGAATGTACGATATACAGGGTGCGTCTTAAATAAGAAATAAGACTGACCCTAACAACAAGCGTCACTAAAAAATGTCTATATCTATGTGGCGGATTCAAAAATCCTATATGGGTATTTCGCCACTGCAAGAAAATCTACAAAATAAAATCGTTATTTTTTGTAAACACTTCTGCGTTAATCCAAACGAAAACTACTTGTCAGAAGTTATGTTTACAAATTTGCCTAACGAACAAAAAAATGCTTAACGTTTCGGAAAGTTTATCTCTTTCCGTCGTCGGAAGCAAAAAAATACAAAGAATAAAGAAAAAATCTATTTAAAATATTTAAATTTAACTATTCGAGAACACTTTAGTTTTTTAAAACAGATCTATCTATCTATTCAGCCGTTTTTTAAAATACGTCTACAAAAAACCGTTGACGTTCTGTTAAAATGACATTATATCAAGTTAAACTTCAAAATTAACAATTACTACCTGATAACAATTACTTAATAAGGTAAAACCAAAAAGCCCCAAACTTTCTGTACGATTATTTTTAATTTTTACGTATGTTATGTTTATTTATGTTATGTTCTTTAAAATCAAAGAAGCGATTGCCATACATTACTAACATCTACAGATGCACGAGCAAAACATTTATTTTTATTAGATTGTATTAAAAAAGCCTCTTTTATTTTTCTTTTAAAATTAATTATTAAAATTTATTCTGTGCTCTGTGTCCCATGAATGCTGACAAATATTAGATTTGTGAAAATCTCCCTTTCTTAAATAATCTTTATGTTCTTTAATTCGAACATTTAAGGGTATGGATATTTCACCAATGTAAAATTTATAGCATTCACATGGTATTTTATATATTACATTTTTTGTTTGTTGTTCTGGCATTCATTGGTTTATGTATGTGATAAAATGGATCTAAGTGTATTTTGTGTTTTGAAAGATGTTCGTATGTTATATTGTTTTCCT